TTAAGATTTACAGCCTCAGAAACTCAAAGGGGTAATTCTATTCTTTCCTATAGTGTCACTCTGAGTTGGAATCTACTAGATGGCAGGAAGTTTGGTTGTGGAGTTGTAATACTAAATTCGGAAGCAAAGGTGAAGGATCAGTAGTTATAAAATAAGGCCTTGATTATAGAAATGAAGCTGAGGATTACATGATTGATATTTCGCAAAACCAAAATACTTTTCCAACAACATAAGTGGTGACTATACCCATGGACCTTATGAAATGAATTTGTAGGAATGAAATGAATACATCTGTGGGAAGAGACTGTAGAAACTTGATCTTAAGTGCAGACAAATTAAATTTCAAAGGACAGTTGAAGAAGAAAACGTAAAATACTGAAATGAAATTGGCAAATATCTAAGTATAGCCTAAAAAGGAATAACAGAGTCAACACCTCAATTTCAAGGAAATGAAGGAAATTTTCAAATCTAGAATTTCAAAATTGTAGAATCATATGGCCAAAATATTGAAAAATGTAGGACATCAAAAGAAGATGGACGGAACACAGTCACTGTATCTAAAAGAATTGGTCAAAATTCAATCGATGAAACAGTGGCATATGATTAAGAACCCATGGTACTTGAGTGAAAGCATTGCCAAAATGCAAGACTAAAGGAATTGATGAGCTACCAACAGACGTGCTTAAATAAACTGGTTTAGAGCTGGAAGCGCTCATTTGTCCATGCCATGAAGTATGGAGGGCAGCTACCCATCCAACTGACTGGCAGAGTTCCATGTCTGTGCCCATGACAGAAAATCTAACCCAGTGAAATGTGGATGTAATCACACATTAATATCACATGCAAATAAAATTTTGCTGAAGATAATTCAAGCTGGATTTAGAAGAGACTATGGAAGGAAGATCTGTCTTGGAAGAAGCACAGACAGAGTGTTCCTTAGAGGCCAAGACAGCAAGACTTCATCGAATGGATTGATACATTGACTACAACAATGCATGTTTAACAACAATTTTGAGAATGGTGCAGAATCAGGCACTTATTAATTCTGTTGTGCAGAGGGTCACTATGAATCAGAGCTGACCAGTACCTAACAACCACATGGAAGAAGATCCTTGTTGACATCAGGTAGATTTTGGCTGGAAGCAGAGAATACAAGAAAGATGTTTACTGGTGTTTTATTGACTATGCCAAGGCATTTGGCTATGGAGAGTATTAAGAAGAATGAGAGTCACAGAGAACTTCGTTGTGCTCATAAGGAATTGTACAGGAACCAAAAAACAGTAGTTTTAACAAAACACAGAAATATCACAAGTTTTCAAGTGTGCTTGAGGCTTGTATCCTTTCACCATTCTCAATCAAGCTGCATGCTGGACAAATACTTTGAGAACAGGACCTATACGAAGTGGCATCAGTACTGGAGGAAGGCTCATTAACCATTTGTGCTTTGAAGATGACACAACCTTGTTTTCTGAAAGCAAAGAGGCCTTAAAGCATGAAGGTCAAAGACTGAAGCCTTTGATATGGATTACAACTCAATTTAAAGAAAACCAAAATCTTCACAACTAGACTAGTAAACAGGATACATGAAGAAAAGATGCAAATCTTCAAGGATGTCATTTTATTTGGATTCGCACTCAATGGTCGTGAAATCAAAGACATTGAAGATACATTTTACTGGACAAATCCATTGCACATACTTCTTGAACGTGTTGAAGTGCAAATATGTCACGCTGAAGACTAAGGAGCGCCTGACTGAAGCCATGGTATATTCAAGCCTCTGATGTGCACGTGGCCGCTGAACAAAGAATACGGAAGGCCAAAGAAGAATGGATGCCTTTGAATTACGGTGCTGACTAAGCATATTGAAAGGGCCATGGACTTCCAGAAGAAGAACACAAATTTGACTTGGCAGAAGCACAAATATAATGCTCCGTAAAAGTGAGGATGACGAGATGTTATCTTAAATATTTGCTCATGGTATCAAGAGGGACTGACAAAGGACTTCATGCGTGGTAGAGCAGAGAGCACGGAAAGGAGGAAGACCTTCAGCGACTCCAACAACTCCCGCATCACTACCAATGTGAGGATGGACAGGACCTGGCCATGCTCCGTTCTGCTGTCCAGAGGGCCAGCAGGAGTCAAAATGAACAGGACAGCACCTAATCACAGCAGCAGCATAGATACTGATACTTGTGCTTCATTGGTTTTACTGCTTTAAATAACCCAGCCGAACACAGCCCCCCCAAGCTATCTGTCCCCCAGTGTGCTTTTACACCTTCAGCCTTTAAGGAATGGTTTTCTTAAAGTCACCTGCAATGCAAACAGGAGCCCAGTGAACACAAAATCAGTGACTATCCCTCTTCTTCGACTAGGTGAGTAACCGCCCCTGATTTCTTTCTACTCTGCTTACCTTCACTACTCAAATCCTTACATCTAATTAGCCCTACATATTTCTGTCAGGTGCCTCCGTCAGTTTTTTAACCCCAGTCTATTTGAGATTTCCCACTTTAAGAAACAAATAGATTTAAGATCTATTTCAGAAGTAAAATCTTGAACCTTCAATAATGGCTTAACTTGGTATATATCTGAGTATATAATTAAGTTGTAAACATGTAAACAGGTGTGTTGACCAGGGATTTTACACATAGTAGGTTATTCATAAATGTATTTTACAGCCACCCCCAAACATTGCTCAAACACTGCCCCTCATTGAAAACAAAAACAAAACCGTGTAGAGTCTATCAATGGTACTGATTGTTCCAAGCAGTGGAACGTTTTCCAGGGGCTGTTTTTTCTTTATGATGCTCAAAAACCAGGGCAACGTTAAAGCAGGAGTGGAAATAGATAAGACGATATTACAAGAATTTTCATTCCAAAGTTAGAGAGAATGGGTGGTTTCCATTCAGACAGCTCCATTTCCAGAATAAAGCTTTCTCTAGAATCTTTATAGTCCCATTAAAGAAAGTATGATAGAAGCATGCATTAACTTAGACAAATAGTACCTATTTAAACTTATTATATTTTAAGAATGTATCTGAAGTTCTTCGCCCCCACTCCACACACACACCTCAATGGCCTACATACATGGTCTTGGTGTAGAGGTTAAGCTTCAGGCTGCTAATCACAAGGTCGAGGATTCAAAATCAGCTGATCTCTGACAGAAAGGTAAGATTTTCTACTCCTGTAAAGGTGCACAACCTCATGAACACTAAAGGAGCGTTCTGCTCTGCCCTATAGAGTCGTCATGAGTTACAAGCAATTCAAGGCCAGAGAGAAACGGTTTGTTCATTTGTCTGTTTTCTCCCATCACAAAGAAATCTGCTTGCATTTGTTTCGGAGGACATGTTCGTAAAAACCAAGCCAAATACTGATTCAGCAATGCCTTTCTTAGATGCTTGCAAGTGAGCCTCAGTGGAACCACACTGGACAGCACTGCCCTCCAGAGTGGTAGCCTAACATTACTTTCTTCATATGCTGTCTCCAGGCTGCTATATGTTTAAGGTTATATAAAATTATTTTGGGCCAATGGGTTTAATATTGGGCTTGTAACTGAAAGTTCAAGCTTCAGAGAGAAAAATAAGCAGGAATGAAGCCAGTTATCAAAATCACTGCTATCGAGTCAATCCTGGAAAGATAGTTTTCAAAACCACACCTATTATATTTTTCACTGCATTTTTACTTACTAGCTTCTCCACAGCTTCTTACTACTAATGCTCTCTTTCACATTGACATTATTTATATGTGGAGAGACCACAGAAGGTCTTGGCTGGAAAGAAGATGTTAAATCCACAGCATTGTTAAACTCTATACTCAGCCATATCCTTCTCCTGGTGGGTCCGAATCCCCCAGCTTTTGGTTAGTAGCTGAACATTTTCATGACATTCATCATAGGTTAAAATTGGAACTGCGTATGCCAAGCCCCAGCTCTGTGGAAGATTTCATGGTCCATTAGGCAAATACATGCATAGAATGGACCCAGCACTGAAGATCAGGGGGCCAATTACTGATCATGTTTCATTTCACCCGCTCTAAGCCCAGAAGCAATGTGCCCCCACCCCCATGGTTACAAGGGAACCAAGTAAATGTACAATACACATTTTTAACATAATGATATTTTCTAATTTAGGTTCAATTAAGTCATAGGTATTGCTAGATTTAGTCTTTCATATTTCTAAGATGTTCTCAAGAAAATCCAGCTAAATCTGTCTACAGCATTTGCCACGACAACATGACGGACATGAGAGTACAATTTTAAGCCTGTATTTTTCTATTTGAAATACAAATTTGAGGCACATGGTTAGTTGTTTGCATTAGTGCAAGATTCAATTTATATTATAGAAAACCTGCTGACTGGTGTTCCATTCAGGAGCATTCTGTCCTAACATTTTATTCATGTCTGTATTCAAAGTAGAATCGTATTAAATGAACCTTTTATATTTTAAATATTCAAGAGTTTTATATTCAAAATTTCTTCTCTCACTGTCAAACTAGTTTGCCTAAAGGCAAGGTAAGATCAAGTTAGACTCTCAAAGGTAGAATTAAATTTTATCATGGCATCCATCATAATATACAGTTTGCTTAATATGCAAATAAAGAGTATATGGATTCAAAGAATAAAGGATTTTTAGGGAGTGTGTGAAATCCAAGGGACCACTTTCATAGAATAGATTCCTTTTAAATTTACATTTCCATCATTTTAATGAAAACACAGGGTAAACAAATTATAATAGAAATGTTTTAAGTTACCATTTTTCAATTCAATTTCACTTCTACTGCATTATTCTCCATGGCAGCTCTTTATTTAAAACTAATAAAAATAGGAGAGAAGAAATAAAATAAATATGTAGTAAGGAAATCATTACCTCAGCCATTTTGGAGAGCTCCATCCAGTCATTTCTGTTGTAACTGCACATGATGCTAGCAATCACAATCTTTGAAAAGAAATCAAAGAAAAGAAATAAGTTCAAGATGTGTCACTGACCAAACACACGCACGCTCGTGTGCGCACACGCGTGTGCACACACACACACACACACACGCACGTGCGCGCACATATACATGCACACACACACACATATATATATGCATACATATAATGGGTAAAACATATTACAAAATAAGCCACTACCTCAAACAACTGGGGATGGAACTTCAGTACACCCCAACAACCCCTCAGCCTGGTGTACATTCTAAAGAAGTAAGAGTCAGAACACAAGGGGACATAGGCAAACCCATATTCATTACAGTACTGTTCAAAATTTCCAGAAGATGAAAACAGCCTACATGTCCACCACTAGAAAATGGATAAGGACATTCTGATACATACACATGATGTCATGCTATGCATTGCTAAAAACCCATGGGAAACAGTGAAGTATCTCATGACATGTATGCACTTGGAGAACATTGAGCTGAGTGGAGCTAGCCAAACACAAAAGGTCAAATATCGTATGAGAGCACTGATACAGGGGTGAGAGGTAAACCGAGATAAAATCTCTCAGACCAAAGGGAACCTGCTTTGGAGGTAGTGGTGTGGGGGGAGGCAGGGGAGAGGGGAGGGACTGGATTCTGGGTAGGTGTGATTTGTGTAAACTGAAAGATGGTGGCTCCCTACTGGGGAAGGGAAGTTGGTGGAAGTAGATTTCTCACTGCCATCAAATCGATGCCGACTCACAGCAGCCCGGTCAGACAGGTTAGAACTGCCCTTGGTGTTCCAGAGAATGTCACTGCTGATTGTAACTGAAAGCCCCATCTTTCTCCTGAGGAGTAGCTGGTTATGTAAAACTGCCGACCTTGTGTATCGCAGTCCACATCTCCTGGAGGTGGACTAGTGAAGGGTTGATTAGTGATTTTATCTGTTGAATGCAAAGTTGATGATCTGAAATGTAAATCCTCACCCAATATACAATAAAAATTGTTTCATGACCCCAGTCCTGCCTTTCAGTTCTTGTTCATATACAGTGATACAGATAAGAGCTCATGACACATGGATCCAGGTCATATAAAATCCTCAGGAACAGAAATGAGAGCAGAGATACCACGAGGTTAGGGGTAAGGTGGGTGGAGGAGGGGAGGAAGGGGAAACTGATCACAGTGATTGACGCATAACACCCCCGCCAAGGGGATTAACAACAGAAATGTGGGTGAAGGGAGCCAGCGGTTGGTGTAAGATATGAAAAAGAAAATAATTTATAATTTATCGGGGGTTGGACGAGGGTGGGGGGAGAGAAGAAAGAGGAGCTGATACCATGGATTCAAATAGAGAGTAACTGTTTAGAAAATGATAATGGCAACATATGTACAAATATGCTTGATAGAATTGATTATGGAATCTTATAAGAGCTGTAAGAGCTCCTAACAAATTGATTTTGTTAAAGATAAATTATTAGCAAAGAACAGGACATTATAGTGCAAGAGGGTCCAGGAAGATGTTTAAGGCTTCATATTAATGTCAGAGGCTTTATCATTTACTCCCTCTCAGTGCATGAGCACTCCCTTTTTTTATCCTGTTTGCTCCTTCTTAAAAAGAATATAGTAAACAGACATCGCCAAGCTCAGAAAGCTGTGGTGGGAATACATGCATTTCTGTATGTGTAAAAGATGCCAAAATTATATGATGCTATAGATATATAATTATTGGTATAGCCAAAATGTTTCAAATGATGTAACAGAGATAAATCAGCATTAAATTCAGTCACAACATATCTCACTGTGCTTGCATTTCTACAAGAGAGTCAAATAAGATTGGGAGATGAGAAAATTTCCAGAAACTTTCAGACTCCATCCATCAACATTGTCACAGAGTCACAGAAACAAATGTCACTAAAACAATATAATGAAAATTTACCCTAAAACTCAGCTTCTAATATGACCTTGAAGGTTCTGATTGCACACAGGTAATTCTTGACAGGACCCATTGCCCAAGGCAAAGCAGTCTTACGAAGTGGCTTACTAGGCTTTTTTTTTTTTGACTTAGAGCTGCCTCTAGGAGACCCATTTTTGAGAGGCTCAAGGTTTAAAAGAATCCGTAAGCGTCATGGTCTGAATGGGTCATTCAGAGTCCACAGACCTCAAATACCCGGAGTCCAAGAGAATGAAACTGTTTCCTCAATGTTTCCAAGGAAGGACTCATTACATGCCAGTGATTGTTTTATTGTTATTGTTTGATGCCGAAAAAGTGGTTCCCGCTCCTCATGACCCAAAATACAGGAGAACAAAACACTGGCAGTGTTGGGCCGTCTTCATCTTGACCGTCTGTGCTAGGTTTGCGCTCATTCTTCCAGCTAGTGTGTCAACCATCCGCCCTGAGGGCCGTTCTCCTTCCCACGGACTCTCTTCTTTACCAGCATGGTGTCTTTCTCCAGAGACTGGGGAGAGGGAGTCTTGGCACCCTCACCTCCAAGGAGCATGCCCGTTTTACTTCTTTGAAGACAATTGGTTCCTTCTCCTGGTAGTCTGTGGCATATTTGATATTCGTCACCAGTACCATAATTCAAAGGCACAAATGTTTTCTTCTTCTTTATTCATTGTGCAGCCTTCCCATGCATATGAGATCATTGAAAATACCATGGCTTGGGTCAGGTTCACCATAGTCTTCAAAGTGCCATCTCTGCTGACTTTTACAGCGTATTTGCCAGCTAGCTCATTGCTCATTTGATTTCATGACTGCTACTTCTCTAGCTAGGTATTGATTGTGGATCCAAGTGAAATGACATCATTGACCACTTCAATATGTTCTCCGTTTCTATTGACCTTACCTACGGATGCAGTTGTGAAGAGCCTTGCTTTCTTTATGCTAAGGTGTAATTCACACTGAAAGCTATAGTCTTTGTGCTTTTCAGCGAGTGCTTGACTTTCAGCAAACAAGGCCGTGTCATCTGCGTACTGCAGGTTCTTGATGGGCTTTGCTCCAGTCCTAATGCTGAGTTCTTCTGCATGCAGTCCAGCTTCTCAGATGCTTCATACTCAGGTTAGATAGTGCAATGAAAGGACACAACCGTGACAAACACCTTACCTAGTTTTAAACCACACAGTAATCCATTGGTCTGTGTGCGAGCTCCTCATGGACACCAAAGTGTTATGGAATGTCCATTCTTTGAAATATCATCTGTAATTTGTTATAATCCGCACACGTGGATGTCTTTGCACAGTCGATAAAGCACAGGTGATTTTTTTCTGGTATTCTCTGCTCCAGCCAGGATCCAGGTGACACCAGCAATGACAGTTCTCCCTTCACACCTACTTTTGAAACTGGCTTGAGTTTCTGGTAGTTTCCTGTCCATGCACTTCGGCAACCATCTGTAAATTATCTCCAGCGACATTTTACTTCTTGTGATAATAATTATATTGTTCAATAATTTCTACATTCTGTTGATCAGTTTTCTTTGGGATGAGCACAACTATGGATTTTTTTCCAATTGGTTGGCCAGCATGGCTGTCGTCCATACTGCTCGGCATAGACAAATAAATGTTTCCAGTATTGAGATGGCATGTTGTTTGTGACATATAACTGGAATCTTTGTCAATCATGAATTTTAGGGCTGATCTGACTTCCATAATATATCTCTGTTTTTCTAGGTAACCCTCAAAGAGCTGAGTGCGATGCGAATGGGGGTAGCTTATCATGGACTATACCACTGAACCCTGTGTATTAGGAATAGTATAAACTCTTTGAGCTTCAATTTCATTGTCTTTAAATATTTTATTATGGTAATAAAATAATACTGTTATTATTATTTAAAACTATTTATAATGCTGTAAGTAACATTAATAAAATTATACATAAATTTAGTAAACTATGGTAATAATAAAAATTCCATTTGAAATCCATGAAAGGCACATTTTGTACTATGCCTAACATCATAGAATACAATAGTAGATTTCACTAAAAGCCACCATGTTCTCACCCACCATGCAACACTTTTTAATATATGTCTAGAGGGAAACAAAGGTGTGTTATGCTGGGTACTTTAGAGAAACAAATCCACAGAAACTGATATATAAGAGAGAGTTTTATATAAAGGGTAAGTGTGCATCAAGAAGACATCCCAACCCAGTGCTGCCCAAGCTCACAAATCCAACATTAACCCAGTGCTGCCCAAGCTCACAAATCCAACATTAACCCGACACCAATCCACAAAGTCCCCCTCCATCTCACAAAACACACACTATGACTCTGACTGCAGGAGGAAAACCGAATTAGTGAATGTGTAAGAATCTCAGCGCTGACAGGGGTCTCCACACAGCTGCTTCAGCACCCAGGGCTGAATCGGGGTAGGTCCATGTGGCTTCTCCTTGGGCATGTCTTGCAGGAAGTGAGCCTTTCCAGATGAAGCAGGGAACTGACTAAGACAGCCACACCCTGGTCCAACCATTGGAAAGCAAGAGACCCGAGAACTCAAAAGGCCAGACTCACCAAGCCATTTATCTCTCTGCCCTTCAGTTAACCCCACATGTGTTTATTGGCCAGGTTGGTTGGCACAATAAACTAACTAATTCAAAAGGCATATTGTGAAAGTCAGTTACTGACAATAACATTCCTAAAGTGAAAGAGGATAGCATGCTAAGAGAATATTTTAAGGCTAACCCTAAACAAAGAGTTATAATTGAAACTGTAGGTTTATGACTAATTATTATCAGTTATCATTTCTACATCAGAAAAGACAGGTTATGCATATCCTCTTTCAATAATAAAAAATATTTTTAAATAAAGTTTTTTTTTAGTTTTTATCTAGTAAAAAATGTTTACTCACAAGATCATTCTTTGTGCTTCCTAAAAAGTTTTTGTGAGTTAATCTTGCTCCAAGTTGCCTCTATTTCTAGTATAATGTAGGACAACACCTTTATTAGTACAAAAATTAATATAATAAAAATTAGTCTTTGGGGTTTGAAAAAATATAAAGCCACTTGCGGTCTGTCCCTCAGTTTCCTT